GGGGGTGCGGAGCTAGGAGGTGTTTAGCACGGGTCTGGAATACACACCTTGGTAGTAGGAGGGCTCTAGGGCCGAGGGCTCGATGCTGCTCCGGCCCGCCATGGAGGCGCTGCCCAGGGGCAGCCCGCCGGGGATGCTGGCACCGTAGGAGGAATATTGCAGCGCCTGCTCGTAGGCTTTGAAGTCCAGCTTGTGCTGCTGCTCCGAGGAGGACATGAGGTTGTTGATGGAAAAGGGGTGGTTGAAGGAGTAGTGGGGGTCGCCCTTGAGGTGGAGCTGGGGTTCGTGGGCTAAGGAGTGAGGGGGGTGCGGGACGGAGGCCAAGGCGGGGACGGAGCTGATGGTGGAGGAGGCGGCCGAGGCCGAGGTCTTTAGCTCCGTGCTCGACGCGCTGTGGTCCATAGACTGGGGGCTGGTGGACGGGTTGGAGCTGGAGAGGGAGTTGGCGGTGTCCAGCTGCGTGGGTTTATTGTGGCCTCTGTGCAGGGGAGAGTTGGAGCTGGAACTGGAGGCCCCGGCCTGATCTTTCCTGCCCTCCTGAGGGGCTTTGCTGTTCGCCGGCTTCTCGCACTTGAAGCGCTTTTGCCGGCGGAGGTAGCAGCCGTTTTCAAACATGTTGCCGGAGTCGGGGTGCAGGGTCCAGTAGGAGCCCTTGCCGGGCTTGTCGGGGGAGCGGGCCACCTTGACGAAGCAGTCGTTGAAGGAGAGCGAGTGGCGGATGCTGTTCTGCCAGCGCTGCTGGTTCTGCCGGTAGTAGGGGAAAAGGTCCATGATCCACTGGTAGATCTCGCTCAGCGTCAGCATCTTGCTGGGCGCCTGCTGGATGGCCATGGTGATGAGGGAGATGTAGGAGTAGGGCGGCTTGGCGTGGGGGTAGCTCCGCTTGAAGGTCTTGGCGTCCCGCGTCCTGCCGAGGTTGGACTGGGTGTAGGCCATGGGGCTCATGCAGGGGTTCATGCCGCCGTAGGGGCTCAGCCCGTTCATGGGGGCCGGCTGGGCGGACATGGCGTTGATGCCGCCGGGGCTCAGCGCCGTGCCCATGGCGGCCACCCCGGCCGCCATGCCGTTCACCGGCCCCGCCGAGCCCGCCGGCATGCCGGCCACGGCACCGGGACTCAGCCCGGCCCCCAGCCCCGTGTTGGCGTAGGACATGTTGAAGGAGCCGGAGGTCATGTTGCCGCTCGTCGTCATGGTGTTCATGGTCATGTAGGTGTTCATGGTGTTCATGGAGCCCAGCCCCGAGTTCATGTTGCTGACGGGCACCGAGGAATAGGCCTAGGGCAGCGAGAGGGAGAGAGAGGAGGTTAGGGGGGAGAGAGAGGCGGGCAGGACCCCGGCGGGGGCGGGGCCGGCCGTCCCGCCCGAGGGGGCGCTCC